CTATACCATCTTCCGTCTGTGGTTTCATTCTTTCACTCCAAGGGACAAAGAGCCCAGGGAAAACCATCCTTCCCAGGGAACACTGCGCATTCCAGTCCAAAATTCCCATATCAGATATGCATCCCTGACACTTCACTGTCAGATATGGCATGTCTCTTGCTTTGGTTTATAAAATGTGAGGCGGGAGGTACTGTGGGGCTTTGCTTTGTAGAAGCTTTACAAACCACAAGGTGCTGTAGCTTGTTTCCTTTCCCTCTATTACAAGGCTGCACTGCATGCAGTGTGCTCGATAGCAGGGACTCTGTTAGCCTGGGTCCCAGAGTGAAGATGTGAAGCAGAGCTGCTGCCAGCTTGTGATGGACATGCAGTATGAGCAGTAAGTTATAAATCACTGAGAATTTCAGGTTGCCGCTGCAACATAACTTACTCTAAGCTGATTGATATGCATTTACCACACTTAATGAATCAGTAAGAATGCTTATAGGAATAGCCAGACTAAATGGAAAAACATATATTCCACTTGGATTAGTGATAAAAGTATACTAAAAGTATATTATACGGAATACTTAAGGTTAACTTTGATAAGACAAGTTTAAGACATATGAAGAAAATTATAAATTGTTATTGAAAGATATAAAACATGTCTATTCTCCCAAAATCAATGTACAAATTTAGTGTACTTCCAAACATAATCTCAATGGTTTCTTTTTAATTTGATAAAAGCATTTTTTTGTCTTATAAATAACACACATTTATTTCTCACAGTTCTAGAGATTGAGAAGTTCAAGATCTAGGCCCCAGCATATTTGGTGAATGATGAGGGCCCCTTCCCGGTTCACAGTCTTCTTGCTGTGTCCTCACATGGTGGAAGTGATAAAAGCATTTTAATGCTCATGTGGAAAAACAGAATTGACCTACAATGTTGCTGCCAAGATTAATTAAATGGGCTAAAATATGTAAAGTGCTTAGGACAGTATTTGGCACATATTTGCACAACATTAGATAGTTCTGTTATTTGGAAAAATAATTAGATCATTATAATAGAGTCTCAAAATGTATCTTAGTACAAATGGAATTTTACTATAGCCATCTAGAGGAAAATACAATTAGATTATCTTAATCCATATTAAAAAATAAATGCCATATGTATTAAAATAAATATGTGGAAAATAATAAAAATATTTTAGAACAAAGTTGAAGAGGATAAATTTATATATTAGGGGCTAGAAAAACATTTTCAACTAAAACAGTAAACTAGGTAGTTATAACAGAATAGAGACGTTTGTTTAAAATATGCAGGTCAAAGAAAAACACCATACATAAACAAAATATTACAACAGATTGTGGGATATATTTGTAATGCATAAAGAAGGTTAACATCTATACTTTATGACACTTGCTATCAAATTTATAGGAAGATGAAAAACTGCATAGAAAAATGAGCAAATAATGTGTTAATAGGCATATTCATAAAAGCAAATCTAAATGGTAAATCAATTTGAAAAAAGCTTAATCAGGAAGATGTAAAGTATCAATGAGCTATCACCTCTCACTCATCAGATCAACAAAAATGTTAGCTGTTAACAGAAATGTCAATAATTATGCAATCTGAATAACTTTTTACATTTGCTTTTTAAAAAGATGTCTCAAAACAATTCTTTCATCAATATATTGGTAAAGGAGGAACTTATTTTGTATTGCAATTAATCATACACAAAGTACACTATTTCAAAATTTCAGATTCTCATGGAATATATTTTGCCAAAACTGTTTTGCTCTTTTTATCTCCTACACTGTATGTGCCTCTCAACTCTAAACAAAGGATTTTCCAACTACTTATGGTCACTGGACAGTGTTTTTTTTTTTTGTTTTTTACTTCATTACCACTCCACCCAGGACCACAAGGAAGCTATCATAACTGATAGATCCTCCCTTCCCCCAACTGGTGGGCGGAGTATGACGTAACCTGCAGCCCAGAAATACCTGATTAACCATGCACCTTATATGGACTATACATTGGACTGCCAATCCACACCTGCCAAATACCCTAGCCATTGTCCTATATGGACAATGCAGTAAGCCACCAATCAGTGTGCGCCGAGTACACTAAGCCCCTACCCCTTCCCATTCCGCCCCTCAAAAAGCATGCTCACCCCTGCACGTGCTGCTGTCCTCCCCTTGTGAGAAAGCCCGGCAGGTCCTTCTCCTCTAATAAAGCTGTAGTCCTGGTTTTCGGCCTCTGTCTCATCTTTCAGTAACACATCCCTGAGCACTCAACCATGCAATCCTGGTTGAACTCTGGCTCAGTATATATACCTTTTTGAATCTGTGACTTGTATGGCTATCCATATGACCCTTTACCTATATTTCTCACCATCCCCACTTTTTCTACTTACTCCTCAACTCCTTCCCTACTCCTCACCCTTTTCTGGAATTTCTCAGCAGGGGACTATGGTCAAGGCGTTTATTGTAGTAAATAAATTAGACCCAGTGCTAATTGTACTCAGTCACTACCAACTCAGTCACTACCAGCAGACCTTTGAAACATACAGCCATTGTCTATTGAATCTACTCTAAGAGGATGGTGCAGAACTAATCAGGAAACAGGTGAGTAAGAATAGAGGCAGGCAGGGTAGCTGAAAGGCTTTTACAATGTTTCTAATGAAAGATAAGAGTCACAGAGAAGTTCAAGATGGCAGTGGAGTAGGTGGATCCTTTTTGCACTCCTCCCAGAACCAAACTGGAAATAAAACTAAATCAGAAATATTCACCCTGAATTACCAACTGAAAACTAGATGAAGAGGGGACTTTTAATAAGAACAGAAACCACCTCAAGATGGTAGGAAGGGCAGGGTCAGGAGAGGAGGCAGGCCAAGGATGAGGAGGGATATCTCAGCAGTGGGAGTGTTTTCCCTGAGAGGAGTGAGGCCAGACCCCAGGCTGGGCTCCCCAGCTGGGAGCCCCAGAGCCAAGAACAGCAGCCCATACAACATCCAGCCAGGAAAGGCAGTGGGGTTTCTATCTGCCAGGGAGAGAGGCAGGTTGTCGGAGATAAAGCCACTTGTTTAAAAAACAAACCAGAGCATAGGATTTTCATGTGCAGCCACTCATCCGAGGCTCCGGTGGAGGGAGGGTGGTGTGGACTAGAATCACCTGAGGAGAATCTGGGGTGGGAGGCACTGCAGGGAGACGTGGAGGAACAGCAGCTGGGAGACCAGAACTCAGCTATCCCTCCTTCCTGCAGCAGCCACTTTTCCTGAGAGGTGCAAGCCCCTACCCACAGCAACAGCCTAGGGGAAGGCAAATACCCTGCCTTTGGGGATACAGCTCACCCAATCTTGCATCTCAATCACTGCTGAGGAGGCATAGCAGAGGCCGAGCCTGCGGTCTGGGCAGTCTGGGGCGGGGGGGGGGAGGCTCAATGACTAGCATAGAGGTGGGGCCATTCCCGTTGTCCTAGGAACCTGACAGGTGCTTCTCCCTTGCCGGAGAGTTGATAGAAATTTCCAGCTTCCAGAAGACCCCACCAGACTTCATACAAAGAGCTTTGCCCTATCAAGGTGAGGGAAATATTCTGGGACAGACTCAGACTGTGGCTCTCAGATGGGGAAACACACCCACTATCTTCCCTGAAATCTGAGTGGCATCTCTCCCTCATCAGAGACCCGGAGGTCTCATCCCCCTCATTCCACCAAAAGCCCTTTCAGAAACAGCCTTCTCAGTGACTAAGTCTGACAGATGGTCAGTGGGCAGAGGCAGAGCCTGAGGTGCCTTGGGATATTTGCTTCCTGCCCCTGCTCCTGTGAGGCTAACAAGCTGGCCCAGCACATAGCTTAGTCCCTCCTAAGTGCAGCCAAGCCCTGTGGAGGCAGTCAAAAACTGTGGATCGCTTAGTGGTTCTCAACCTTCCTAATGCCGCGACCCTTTAATACAGTTCCTCATGTGGTGGTGACCCCCAACCATAAAATTTTTTTCGTTGCTACTTCATGTGGGAAACTGTTTATTGCCTTCACCATCTGATAAGCTTAGACAGAGAAGCCCCCGAAGGCTGGGTGCCTTTGAAGCCCTAGCAAAGGTCGGAGCTAGGCGTCACCTGTTTGTCCAGACAGTGGTAGCTGAAACTACTCCCCCATTTATTATTATGTAAATCCTTGCTGATGGGCTAGTCTGCCTGTTAATGGGGGGTCACCTGCCTAAGGGCTATGCTATGGGTGCATCCCAGATCAATAAAAGCTTGGCACGGCCTGAGCACTGAGGGAAGTCCTTCCCCTTGAGTTGGACTTGCTCGCCTGGTCCCCCAATATTTCCAATTATCTCGTCTTTTCATTTTCATTTGTTTGCGGCTCTGCTTCCAGTTCCTGAACCCTGATCCACGCGGGATGTGGGAAGGAAACACTCAACAACTTCATAACTGTAATTTTGCTACTGTTATGAATCGTAATGTAAATATCTGATATGCAGGATGTATTTTCATTGTTCGCGACCCACAGGTTGAGAACCACTGGAAAGCTTCAAACAAGTTACTGAGTGCCAAACATTGACCGCTTCTGACAGTGGCTAGCACCAAAGTACTTCCTGGGAATGGCAGACAAAACAGTTAGCTCCAGTCAACATAAAAGAAGGATCCAAAGGGAGCTCCCAGGTGGCACTGAACTGCTGAGATGAACTCCACTTTTTTTCTTTACATTATTTTCTTTTTTATTGCATTATTATTATGTTTGGATTTTTTCTTTCATATCTCTAATTTTTCTTTTTTTTACTCTTTCTCCTTCTTTCTCTTATTCCCCCCCTCTTAATTTCCTTCTGCTTCTTTCTCTTCTTTTTTCATTTTCATAATTTGTTCCTTCCTCTTTTTTCTATACCGTTTTCTTTTTCCTATTCTTTATTCTTTTTTTCTCTCCCTTCTTCATTTTCATATTCTCTATTCTTCCCCTCCCCTTTTTCTCATATTTCTTTTTCACTTTTATTATTCTGGCTCTCTTTTCTTTCTTAATTCTTTTGTGTGGTTGTTTTTGTTGTTGTTGGGGGTCTTCTGTATGTTTTTGTATTGTTCCTTGTTTTGTTTTGTTCTGTCAGCACCTGCACAACAGCTTGAACAACAAGGTTGGGGTTGAGCCTCACAGCCAGCCAGTCTGAGGGGAGATCCCACCTAGGAAGGAGAAAACAACACTCAAGACCCAATTACAGAGAGAACTAAGATGGCGGCATAAAGTATAAACCTGTGCGTGCTGCCTCCCACAACAACATCGAGACTACCAACTATAAGACAAACAGCTATCATTCAGAACCACGGGAAAGCTGGCCGAGTGGAAGTTCTACAACTAGAAGGAAAGAAAGAAGTGCACTGAGACCTGGTAGGAGGTGCAGACGCGCCAAGAACAGAGGTACGAAGGCGTGCGCGAGGCGGCTGCACCTTGGTGCGCGGTTTTTTTCAATCGGAAGGGGATACAAGCTCTTGAACGCACTGAGCTCGTTTAAGGCGAGATTCTGAGGTCCCAGACTCCTACGGGGAGAAACTGGACTGTCTTGCAGCGGTTTGGAAAGTGAGGGGGGCTTTCTCGCAGAGTTGCTCGCAGGGATCATTGTTGCTGTGGGGGCACGGGACTGCAGAGACACGGAGTCACGGAGATGCGAGGAGTTGCGGACACGCTGACCACAGTCGCTCCACCCTGGTGATTCTCTGAGACCCCGCCCCACTCAATTTACATCCCCTCCCAAGCTGTGCTCAGCGGTGCAAAGGAATCACCTTGGCTTTTGCAGCCTAATCTAACTGCAGCTGGGTTAGAGAGCTCCAAACCTTCCAAATTCCAAACAAAGAGGAGAAATCTGCTGATATCGCTGTAG